CAAAGATAACTTTATTGCAGCTATCCTGCAGCGTTGATATGTTTTTTATGTGACAGATGAGAGAGCCACATTTTTATTAATTTTCTTTAAGCATCTTAAAAAAATATAAAGTATAAATTAAAGAATAGAAACATTCTTGCTTCCTAAAAAAACAAACAAAAACATCCCAACTAACTTACTTAACTTTTCCCATATTTACAATTGAATTTCTTTCATTTTCAAATTCATGAAAGATGTAATATCATTTAAAGAAAAGCCTTTTTTTCGTGTGTGTTTTTACTTTAAGGACTGAGCATGAAGAATCTGATTTCAGCAGATTGAGAATTAACAGACAGGAGTGAAGCTTTGCAAACACATCTTAGTGTCCTTTACTTAAAGCAGCTCATTCATTCCCTTTAAGCAGACATTTTAAGGTTTGTTGCAGATATAATGTGCTTTTACATTCAGGCTACACCATATATTCCTCCCTGCATGTCGCCAGCTCCTATAATTGACTGGTTGCAAACTCCTCTGCGGTTGCCTGCTGCGGTAGTGCGATACTCCAAGCCAAAAGCACGGTTCATAGCCTTAGTAAAGGTTAACCACACAGTGAAATTAACAAGCTGTGATAATAGAGGGTGTGAATAGGGGGGTTAAAGGGCAGTGGGTACAGGTGGTTATGGGGGATGAAGTCCTTGAATAGAGGTTTAACAAGTCCCACGGAGCCAGAGCTGATCAACCGGGAGGGAAAAAAAAAAAGTTTACATCCCCGCTCCGACCCTCCTGCGAGGTGTCAGGTGAGAGTCGGGTTACGCACGGCGGTTGGCACGCGATGCCTTGTTTGTGTGTGTGACTGTGTGTGTGTGTGTGTGTGTGTGTGTGTGTAGGTGGGTGGCGGGGATGAGTAGGTGTGCGATATTTGAAAAAGGGAATTCTTAACGTCTGGGCCACACAGACATCCATCCCATGCATGTGTGCACACTTGTGGACATGCAGACAGTATGCACACACACACACACACACACATGCCACCCGCCTGCACGCAAAACACACACTTCCCCATCACCAGCCTGCTCGCCCCCCCTCCACCCTCTTCCTCTCACATTACCTCACACCCATAAAATACGACTGAATTACCCAGGAGTCCTTTCACCAACTTGTCTACTCATACTCTTGTTTTTGCAGAGCTTTTTTTCTTTTTGCTGCGCTCCTATAGCACATCACCATTTCTAGCCGTTCACACCTCGGCTCTGCCTGCAGGTTTTCTTATCTTTTTTTTCTCCCTCCCTCTTTCCCTTTTTACTAGGTTGTTTTACACAGTTAAGGACTGTGTATTTTGGCAAAGGCGAGCATTGTAAATGGGAATGTTTGGTAGGAGGCAGGTGGGTCAGGTGTGTGTGTGTGTTCATTCCAGTTGATTGACATTGGCTAGAAGATGGTGGGGGGGCTTACGGGAAAGGGCCTCTGAGAACACACTGCCTCTAGTCTGCACGGGCTCGGCTGCGCTACACATCACGCCGGTGGCTGCTATTCATTGTGCACGTTGCAGTCGGGAGGCTGTATATCAAAGTTATTGTCCACTGTTCTTCATTAACCGCTCTGAATGTACTTCTTGTTACTGAATTGTAAAATAATGATGCATTAAAAAACGGCCACACAAAGAAAAACTGTGTGACGGGTGGCTAATATCTTACCCACAGGGCCCATTGAGAAGTGTGAGGTGCCAATGGATCCTGCGTATCCTGTGTGTGCAGAGAAAGTGGAGGTGAGAAAGCGAGAATGTATGTGGTAGCACAAGCCTCATGGCTCTCTTTATGCACTGTTATGGTTGTATTGAAGTGCTTACCTTGATTTAAAGATTTAAGTTTAATATTCCAAATTCCAAGTATACGAGGAAGTTTGAGCTGAATGTGGAAATACCGTTTGGAAACTTAAGCATAGCATGGACTCGATATTGAAGAGCTGCTGAACTAATGTGCATTATGAATTAGCTTACATAGCCAAAAATGTGCTTCATGTTGTTTTAAACCTTTGATCCTTAAGCTGTTTTGTTCATTTTTTTTGCTCCTGTCACATTTTTACTCACTGTGGGCTCATTTTTCAGTGCAGTATAAAGTCCTGCACCTTTATGGACACAGCACAACCATGGCTAGAAGGAGAGAACAGTCAAAAATGTCTTCTGTGGAAAATGACACAGCAATAATGCCATAAACTTGGGGAAATAAAAGTGATATTTCTTTCATTATTGTTTTACAAAAATTGAAAAAAAAAAAGCTGTAATACCTGTAATATGCACGCCATTGTTCCAAGAGTCCACATATGTCATCAATACTGGAAAAAAAGACTATTTGCATTTTTAATTTCATTCAATATTTGTCCCCTACACTCCCTGCAGTTCAGCTGAGAGGTTCTTGAATTTTTGTCATGTGACTGTTGGGCCACAAACAACTTCTTGGTTGTGCTGCAGAACTTTGTTTTGAACAGAATCTGAGTTGAACAAATGTTTATTTTTAGCCATTTTTTTCCCCAGAAAGTTATTTCGCTAAAATGTCCCCCTTTCAAGCTTATATTTTTTTAGGTTTTCAATAAAACTGCACCTCATTTATGATTACTTCAGGGACTGTCAGAGGGTTAAAAAAAATCCAATGATTCTTTTTGTTTTTTCGGTTTCTGGCTGTGATAAACAATGTAATACTGTCAATTTTAAAAAAAAAAGAGATAATAAGCATTTCGAACCCACCAGTGGATTTTGGGGTTCAGTGAGTTGAGTTGTTTGTCTTGTAGTTCCTGCAGGCCCGTTGGCAATCAGACCCCTGTTATGCGTTTTATGGGGTGGATGGTACCACTTGCTCCATCTTGACTTACCTCAGCCAAATAGAAGACTTCTGTCCCCATCGTCTTGGAAGGAACCACTCTGCGCTGCCGTGGCATCAGAAGCCTGGCTCTGATAGAGAAAAGGTATCTTCTTGACTCGGGTTGTGTCACTGTTTATTACTGTAGAATGATTCAGTTCAAGTTATAATCCTCTGAGATCTCACACTATGATCACACACAGGCTGAGATACGCAAAACTCTGAGGCCGCTGTTTGAGGCGACCAGCAATGACAGCGGTTCGGCAATGAAGTTCATCCGGTCCAGAGTAGAAAGAATGTCTGAGCGGTGGATACAAGCTGGTCTGAGAATGAAGCAGAGCAGCAATCGGACCAGCTCAACCCAGATGAGGGTATTTTACACTCACAACCTGAGTTATTAAATCGTATTTTCTAACACCTTGCATCATAGTATACACAACCTTAAGCAAATCACAACTCTGCTGTGTTTACCTGGTTACATGCTGTTACAAACTCCAGGTGCTGCTTTACCCCGGGGCCCTGGCTGGGAGTGTTGGCCAGCGTTTTGAAGCCATGGTGGAGAGAGGAGGTCCTCTGGGAGAGCTGGTCCAGTGGGCTGACCTCAGTGCCTGTCTGACAATCCTGGGCCACAACCTGACCTTCAGCACCTCACAGCGCCAACTCTCCAGGTTACTACCACCGTCCTGAACCACTAGCTGCTTGATTTATATGTAACAACATTTTAGTAGTTAATTGGTTAATTGGCGTTGAAGTCAATGTATACATACATCTTGGCGAGTCCACTTATTAGAACTTGTCTACCCAGCTGCTCTGACACCTTTAACTGCAGCGGCAGATAGCATCCATGGTGTCCTTTTCTTAAACCTGATGTGTGCTTGCTGTAACTGGTCCAGCTTCATAGGTGCTGCTCCAGGTCGAGGCAGTTGTCCAATCCAAAGGCCCCTCACCTTCGACCTCATCTACACCGACTACCACGGCCTTGCTCATCTCCAGGGAGCCATGGGACTGGCTTTCCAGCATTACCAGTACGACCACAGTTTTCTACATACATAATTGTTCCTAAATGATCTTGAGGAACCATACTTTACTAACTCGGTAATCAAGACATGATTTTGAATTTTGAAAGGATTTGACAAGTTTGACCTCCACCATTATCACATGTAGTTGCAGAGGTCCATCTGTGTTCAGATTTGTATCATGTAAAAAAATGTCCCATGTCTCTTCTTGTGATTGTTTTATGTAGCTTGTGTAACAGTGAGTTTTTTCTTGAGGTGAAGTAGGCAAACTGTGACATTACAGTTTCTTCCACCATGATATTTGTCCAGCACATCCAGACCAGACAAGTAACATGATGATGGCAGCTTTACGTGCAGTAGTTTGTGTCCATGCAGTCACTGCTGAATTGGTAAACTTGTCGTGGATGAGTACATCTATCTATACATGTGATAGAAATTTTGTGACAAATACTTTTAAAATCATTCTAGGTGCCGCTTTAGGATCTTGGACTCATTTGGAACCGAACCAGCCTTCAACTTGGCGAGTTATGCTCATAGCCACGGATATAAAACACTGTGGGGCAGCTGGGGTCTTCAGCCTCTGCAGTACATGACCATGTTCCGTAAGTCTACATGTTTGTCTGTGCATGTTTATGTATTTATGTTTCTGTACATGTGTCTCTTTTACACGAGATACATGTACACACTAACTGGCTACAAAATTAAGACTACCTGCTCAGTATTGTAAGGGTCCCATCAGGGCAGGGGGGAGGGATGTTCTAAAAAGGTTGAGATATAGCAAGATCCATCCATACTCTATACCTATACATTTATTAATCCTCACTAGGGGGCTGGAGTCTGTCCCAGCTGACAGGGTGAAGGCAGAGGACACCCTGGACAGGTCACCAGTCTATCACAGGGCTACACTTAGAGACAGACAACCAAGCACACTCACATTCACACCTAGAGACAATTTAGAATCACCGATTGACCTCAACATGTTGTTGGACATTGTGGGAGGAAGTTGGAGAACCCAGAGAGAACCCACGCTGCACGGGGAGAACATGCAAACTCCACGCAGAAAGATCCCAGGTGTCCTAACTGGGACGCGAACCGGGTATCTTCTAACTGCGAGGCGATGGTGCTAACCACCGAGCCACCTTGCAGCCCATGTAGCAAGATGATCAGAGTAATTCACTTGACCTGTCTGTGGGTTTAATGTTGTGACCGTTTATATTTATCTTTCACACACACCCCTCTTAGCGTCGTCACAGTGAGAGGATTAATAGCTGAGCGTAAATGAACTTGGTGCCCAGACAGAGCTTTCATTCCAACACCTCTCCCTGTCGTCTTCCCCACCCTGCCGGGAGATGGAGACAAGCTGGAAGCACTGGGCCGGGAGCCACTCTTCATCCCTCAGCCTAGAACACTGTTTATTTGTCCTGCTGGGGGGGGGGGTGTGTGTGAGAGAGACGGCTGTTAGTTGAGGATGTGAGAGGGATAAAAAGAAAGAAAGAAAGAAAACAAAACCGAAGAAAGACTCAGGAAGAAGGAACGAAAGGAAAGAAGCTTGAGAAAAGAATGGGCGAGTGTTTATGCTCCTGTTTTGCAAAGCAGCGGAGGAAGATAGTCGACTGAGGGATCGAGCTAAACAGACAAGCAGATGGAGCAGAGCTGCAAACACTGCAGCCAAGAAACTAGAGATACTTCATCAATTCTTAGCTTTTTTTTTCCTCCAACCCCCCAGATGCTGCATGATCACATCAGCGTTTCATTGCATATCGCTGCTAATCTGATAGGTGTCTGTGTGAAGTGGTGAACCTAGACAGGCGTTGGAGACAAGTGGGGCTGAAAAGAAGCCAGCAGGAAATTCTGCGCAGGGTGAATAAGAGGAGATTTGGCAAAAGTCTTTTAAACAAGTACCTTGAGAAGGAGAGGACACAACACACACACACACATACACATGTTACAGAACTCAAATCGATGCTTGAACACACACCTTTGCTGGCACATTCCTACTAAAGTAAATACTCATCTCTCACACCTTCCTCAGGGTGTCAGAGGGCAGCAGGGTGGCAGCTGCCTATCCAAACACCCAACCTTCTCATATATGTAGAGTTCTCATTTCCTTTACAAGATGATTTATACAGCACAGTATGTTTTTCCTCTCTCACAGAATTTTTAATATAAACTGTTATTCATCTGCAGTCTTGGTATGTGTTGTCAGTACTGGTGGCCAAATGTCATTTTGCAATCCTTCAATCGCGTTTTCTGCACTCAGCTTATTTTATTTTATTTTTTTGCGTCATCTTCAGTGGTGCTCATCATCTTTGATCACATTCTGGTTAAAGTAAGCACTGAATTGGGGACACAAGTTAAAAGAGATAGTTTATAATCACTTGGAAACTCAAGGAGAGATGTGGACACACTTACCGCTTTAGTTCTAGCAGTTGTCTGGGTTCTTTCTTTTTTTCTTTTTGAATTTGCTTATAGCTTCTCTATGTTCTGTTGTGTCCAGCTCATACTCCTGATAATTCATTCCTGGGCTTTGTGAGTGAAGAGGCAGTGAGGAAGGAGGTGAGGGAGGACGAGCTCGAGCCAGAGAGCTACGGGAAAGAAAGGATAGCAGTCGTGTACGGAAAACAGGACTACATGTGGCAGGTATGATGGCCAAAACAGGAAGAAGTATGTGTGTAGAAAGACTGCAGGTACAAATACATGTACAAAACAAAACAAAACCAAAAGAAGAGCCAGATACTGCAAGATTTTACATGGTGGTGAAGATTTCTCTAAAAATAATTGTGTTTAAGTGTTCTGTGTGTGTGTGTGTCAGGGTAAATCTGAGTATGTGAAGGTGATCAGCGAGGAACTGGAGACTCACGCTACAGTTTACCAGCCACCGGGACACGCCTCAAATATACCCAGCTTCATCAGAAATCACGGACTGCTGACTCAGGAACACTTCCTACGACTTCTCCGCAGGGCTAAGGTCAGATAAGAGTCGAGCACGGAATAGTGCTGAACTCGAGAAAGCCAGTAAATTATTTAAATAGATCATCATAGCTGCTTATGTTGTTCGTATTTTATTACTAAAAGGTCCGTTATGGAAACTTAAAGACAGATTTTAATTAATTAACAAAGACTGAGATATTTGTTTTAATTTTGCCTAAACTCATGTGGTGTCAGCCCTGTACATCTACCTGCTTCTGTCCTGTCCTCTGTGCTCACATTTACTGCATTTTAATACAGCCAGATTGCCAATAAAGCTGTTTTTATTTACATATTTTTCTGTCTCTGTTGTGAGGCAATGAAACAAGTTTGAAATTGGGATTAAAATGCAGTCCGTTAGGTCTGTGAATTTGATGCTATTTCTATGCAAAAATGATCACTCATAGAGAAAGTTAGAATAAGAATAATGTCCTCATTCACATCTGCATTGGCCACAAGGTCGTCAATGGGTTTTCTTCATGTTTTTAATCCCAGATGCAGAGAGAGTGTTCAGCAACTACATTTAGATCTAAAGCCCCTGAACCAACGGTGATACAGTTATGTTGAAATAAACCATCTTTTCAGTATTTTCAGTGGAAAAAGGTGCAATCTGAGGACATATGCGACTAATTTGCTTAAGATGTGCGCAATAAGGGACCTTTAAGAAAATAGTATGTCTTCCCTCCCTCCATGCAGCTATTTGTGGGTCTTGGGTTCCCCTATGAGGGTCCAGCTCCTATCGAGGCAATAGCTCTGGGCTGCGTCTTCCTTCAGCCACGTTTTGACCCTCCACACTCATCAGACAACAACGACTTCTACAAGGGGAAGCCCACCACGAGACAGGTAGCTAACTCCTCAAAAGTAGTTTATAACATGTATATCAGTTTCTTAAATATATATTTGAATGTGTATTCTGAAGAACTTCAACAACAGTCAGTAACTTTGTATCTTAGATTTCCTCCCAGCACCCTTATGCTGAAGAATTCATCGGTAAACCATACGTGTGGACCGTGAATGTGACCAACAGCACCGACATACGGGAGGCAGTCAGAGCTATTCTGAGCACCGAGGTAGCTTCCACTGAACAAACACAACTACAACTCAACTGTGTAAATGCAGACACACATCTTATTTTCCCCAGGTTCCACTTACAGTAGCGCTGAATACAAGTGTTTGTGTATGTTTTTGCAGGTGAAGTCTTTCACTCCTCAAGAGTTCACTTGTGTGGGAATGTTGGAGCGGGTTCATGGTTACATCACTCACCAGGTACAGAGAAGCAGGGAGAGCCGGCATAATGTTACTGACTGGGAGCTCCCGACTAAATTAGAGTCACGTTTTATGCAAACTGTTATGAAGTGTGTAATGTAAAGTTTCACCTGTGCAACTGTGTGACATTGGCATTTTATGAAAAGTGTTACCCATCTCTGATATTGTAAGGTGAATGCTAATCCTGAACCACACTTCTATTCTAAATTAACTTTGCAATAATTACTTACAGTCTCGTAATTCTTTATTCCAGAGTGTACAGGATGTAGTTAAATTAGGACAAAAGTAACATTTCTGACTCAAGGCATTTACAATCTGCTGCACTGTTTAGATATCAGTGAAACTATCCACTTCCTGCTCTCAACACTGTCAACTTTCCATTTCTTACAAAAAAGAACTTCTGCAGTAAATCTGTGCCTACTTGGCCACCAGAAAGCGCTCTCAGGGTGCACTTGGGTCCACTTGGTCAGTCCTGTGTGAGTGTGTGCCGACGCTCCTCCCTCTTCTGTGAACCAGCTCTCTTTCACCACCTCAACACCCTTGCTGCGTTTAGCAGGTAAGGAGTCAGCATAGATCCACTGCTGACACATTATACACTATACATGTTTACATCTGGAAAGAGGCCAAGAGGAAGGTATGAACAGTTTGAATGCTTATGGTCCTATGTAGCATCTATGGCAGTCAAAGATGCAATATGCACGATGCAAACTTATAAACAGGCTGAGAGTGACCTTCTGCACTGCGTTATAACAGCAAAAGTGCAGTCCAGTGTTAAGCTTGGCCATTTTATAAGTGTGAGGAGGGCAAACAGCTTCAACAGGAGAGACTCACATGTACTAACTTACCTAATTTATTTGCACTTTCATTTCAGCTCGGTGTGAAAGTATCCTCTGCTGTTTTGCAGATCTCCTCTGCTTTCTTTTGTTTGTTCTGCTCTGGTCTGTGTGTGTCTGTTTCCATACCGTACAGTCTATGAGGTGTGTCAGAAAAGTTCCAGGACTGGTGTCACAAAAGATGTATTTCAAATCCAAACTACAAGGTTTCCCCTTCAAGTAATCCCCCTCGAGTGTAACGCACTTTCCCAGCCTTCTCTACCACACCACCATGCACTCCTGGAAGGATTCTTTTGGGATCCTCTGTCTTCACAGCCATCTTCATGTTGTCCACGTCTTCAAAATAGATCCCCTTGATGACCCCCTTGAGCTTGAGGAAGAGGAACAAATCCCACAGAGCCAGGTGGGGTGAGTGGGGAGGTTGCTCCAGCACAGCGATGTTCTTCTCAGCCAGGATCTGTGGGATGCTCAGGGCGTTGTGAGCAGGCACGTTGTCATGGAGAAGCAGCCTCGACTTGTCCTGCCACAACTATCGCTTCTTCTCATGCACTAAACGAAGCAAATGCTGCAGGATCTCTTTGTAGATATGCTAGTTGATCGTCTGAAGGGGAAAACTGGTAGTTTGTAGTTTGGATTTGAAACATATGTTTTGTGACACCAGTCCTGAAACTTTTCTGACACACCTCATATATCCACTACACACCAGTTTGTTTCGGTCTGAGATGCTGGTGCTCTTCATCCAGTGCGTTTGAATGTTAAATAAATACTAAAAGAAGCTCCAGTAAATTGATAGATGCACTGTATAGAAATCAAACTATCCCTGCTTTCCATTTTGCAGGTTGGGACTTGGTTGCTCCAGCACGGTTCAGGAGACCAACCACCTGTTTCCTTCCTACAGCCCTTGGGGTCGTCACTGTGGCCTTCAGCTGGAGCCTCTGCTGTTCAGTTGTGCCGGTTCTGACCTTTCATACCGCAGACTGTGTCCCTGCAGAGCTCACCTGCCTGGACAGGTCGCACTCTGCCCTGACTGCCTCTAAGCAACGCTATGGAAGAACTCAGGAAATTGATGGGAGACAAGAGGAAAAGATGGCACCAAAGAGCTGTCTGCAATGCATAGTGTACAGGTAAAGATTCTCAGCCAAAGGGAGCCAGCTGTCCTGCCAAAGCTAAGGAAAGCTTGTTTGTGGATGTCATAGAGTTGGAGATATTTTATTTATATTTACATACTCAACTGAAAATCATTTCATTCAGCACCCGTAACATTTAATTAGTTATTGCACTGCTAGAACTGTCCTATGCAATTGTTTGGACAATAGCTTGTTTTGTTTTTTTAATGACGTTCATTACTCAGGAAGCAACCGTGATTGATTTCCATTTCAGAAGCACTTGAAATGTTGAAGGCTGATGAATTCAAGGCCAGGCCAAATGAAATCCCTCTTGTTGCTGTAGCTTTTCCTTGATCCCTTAAGCAAATAGTCATTAACAAAATCCAAGATGCACTTTAGGGAAAATTCCTTTAGATGTATTTAAATTAGGTGGGAATTGGCAACAGCGAGTCTAAAGTGGTTCAGTTCACAGTGTTTAACTTCTCTTCTCCAGATCACACACAGCACAGTGAACTTCAGCATTATGATAAATAATTAGCTAGTTATTCATTGCATTACAGTAATGTATCACGGTGGTCAACGTTGCATGGGATTGCAACTCATGTAGCTCCTTAATGCTTTGCTGGCTGCAGATATTAGCCTGGGCCTCAAAGGAGAGCGGGTGACAGCCTAAGTGATGAGGCTCATTATCTGAGTGAATCATGGATAACCTTTGAATCCCTTTGGGAGGTCACAGCCATATGACCATGATTATACTGTCATATAAACCATTGGTTCCCAACCATCTCTGACTTAGGAAACCCCCTCAGCTCCGTGAAAGTCCATGCCCCCCCATCGGTAGACGCAGACCCACATTGTTTGTATTTCAAACACATATTTTGCGTCATTTAGAGCGGGAAAAATGTCACAGAAGACGGGATTAATTGTGTTTTCTTGAGATATTTTGCTAGAAATTACACTTTAAAATGATTTTGATCATAACAAATGACTCATTTTGCTCAGAGTTCCTGTGTTTTGCTTCAGTATTACAGTATTCCCTGATTGCCTCATGAACTACAGATTTGTCGAGCACCCCCCCCCAACCCCCTTACCCCCCTCAAGGGTATTTTGCAACCCAGGTTGATATGAGCAAAAGTGGAAACTTTACATACAGCATATATAGTGATTTGGAAAGGTTTTACATTTCCATTTTGGAAACCTCAAAGAATCACACAGGCTTATCTCATCATCCCCCTCCTGCACAACAACATGTGAAAGAAATGATAACAACTAAAGGCCAAACTACAGCTCACAGCCAGTGGTGTCAGTGATGGGGTGCTGCACTTACATGGCACAGCTGTTAGCAAAGATAGCTCCAACAACGGCAACAAGCTGCTACTCTGAATTTGATTGATGTGCCCGTTTTTCTTGGAAACGACGCACCGGTGAATGTTAACTGGCAGAAAAAGAGACCTTTTCTGCCTCAATACACTCCATGCGACCAGAACATGTTGTCACTCAGGGAACAGACCGCTCAGGGCTGCGACAACAAGACCGGCCGACAATGTGATTGACTAGTAAATGGCTGTGAAATGGTCCATGAAAACAACATTTGTGATGACTTTGGTGGATTTTGGTGAATTCATTTGGCTCTGTCCAATGTGACTTTTTGCTTGATTAGCAATTGAGCGGTCCAAAGACGATGGAAATGAACTTGTGTTTATATCAAAGAGGCTCTTTGGAATAAAAGAAAAATAAAAGCTGCTTTTGACACAGAGGGACGTTACTGTAACAGTTTTTTGGAAAATGATGTGTCATTTCTGGATGAGTCACATGAATTCATATCAGTTACACGTGTTATGGCATATAAAAGCTGTCACTCACCTCCCAGGGGGCTGATAGCAGAGGGTTCAAACTAAGGGTTCAAAAACAGGCCCGAGTATATATGTGGAGCAAATGTGTGAATGTGGACAAAGGTTTTAGTGTTCCACACGACTGCCTACTGACCTCATGCTGAATGGGGCTGTATATGAGTGCAGAACTGACAAGGTCCATATGTTTGTCAGAAACCCATTTGATGGTGATAGGCAGTGTGATATGGTTTGAGGCAACAGTGATTGGAATCATCTATGTAATTTTAGTCTTTTGGGGTTGGTGGTTATTGCTGCAAATTGGTTTCATGCCTCAAGTTCAACTTCAAGACTGAAGATAAGTAAGTCAGTAATTTTTGTGCTTTAACTGAGCTCACCACAAACCATGATTAATGCTGTTAAGGCCTTACAGTGGCTGTTCTGGTAGATCAGAATCTGTGACTGTCACTATAGATTCACATGATGGATGGATAAACAGATAAACAGCTTGTGATCTCCACAGCGACTCTGTGATCTTTGTCACAAATTTCAACCTGAGTTAATGAGAATGTCATCTATTTTACAGGAATTTAATCACAAATCAAAGTATATGTTAAAGTTCTAACGTGGACATCGATTATATCTCCAAAGGGATTACAGCTCATCCTGGGGGCAACATATATGCTTCACAAAATTTGTTCATAATACATCTAAAGGTTTAGACATTTAATTGAAAAATACAATTAAATTTCAAGCTTATGGTGGCTCCATAGAAACTATATAAAGACGCGTGAAACCTCCATGTCGTCATCCATAGGTTCCATTAAGAATGGTTTTGAAGCTCAGTCACCATCTTGGCAGTGCCTGACTTCATATGTCCTGAGTTATCCAAAAGTATACAAACAGATGTAGCATCAATAGAGCTGAGATGAACAATCTAAAAGTCTCTTTTCCATGGACTGACTTATGATGTGTCACTCAAAGTGGCCACATCCTTACTTATGCAGAACTTTAGGCCTTAATACAATTTAAACAGGTGAGCTTTAGAACAATCCACTCCTCATATAATTGTCGTTAAAAGGGAAGTCAGCTATAAAGATCAAAACCATTTTTGCTACCAGACTGTAAAACGTTTTATATCTGCTCTAAAGTTGGACATTTTAACATTAAGGTTAATGAGGATTGACTCACTTTAAGGAGCCAGCCCCCAGTGGCCATTCCAGAAACTGCAGTTTTTGACATCTTTGTGTTGGTGTCATTTCTCAGGCCCAGACGTCACCAGCTGGGTTTGGCTGAAGTCAGATGATGATGTCTAGTCAAGTTTATTTATATACAATCTTTACAGTGCAGTATAGAGCTTTAGTATAAATAATGAAGGTGTAAGGATCCAAAAAATTAAGATATTTCTCAGGAAAATTGAGACATTCAACAACTACTGAGCCACCAAAGTTATGAACTAAACAACAGACTGAGTCTGCAAACCACAGAGCTATGACACGAGTAGCTAAAAATAAATCGTGTGTTGTCGTGGAAGATGTATTCAGATCTTTTGCTTGGGTAAAAGTACTAATAACACATTGTGAAAATGCTCCACCACAAGTAGAAATCCTGCAACTTTTACTTACTAAATCTACAAATGATCAGTGAAAAGTACCTGTAAATTTGTAAGTATGAAAGCAAAACACCTCATTATGACTAAAGGCTCCCTGTCAGTGACATTTTAATACATGTTTGAAGTTGAAGTGCTTTATATGCGGTTGGGTGTTTTAGTAGTGCATCATACTCTATAAAGTCGTTATACATATGCAGTTTTACTGCACATTCACAACCAAAAAGTCATTTTTTTTGTGAGCTCAGAAAAACAGTCCCATTCTCATCTGTGTGACAATGGATTTCCCAGCTAATCCCAGAGGGTTATTAAATTGTTTATTTAGCTTAAGAAATGGGACATTGTGATAAACTGAAGGATTAAGTGTTCCTTTGTGGGTTGAGACACTCACCAAATTTGGAGACATTTGGCTTTGACTGGACGGGAAGGGTGTTATAAATTGTAATCGGAAGAGTAGATAGAAACTAAAGCTGTCAGACAAATGCAGTGGAATAAAAGTATAAATCTGCATAAGATGGAAATACGCAAGTAAAACGCAAATACCTTAAATCTGGACTTCAGTACAGACCTTTAGTAAATGTACTTAGTCACATCCTACTACTGCTGGCTTGTTCAAGCATTCACACGAATGCTTGACCACCCGTTGGTCTGTGCACTTGCCTGCTTTATGCCACCTCTACGCATTAAAATAAGGATTAGACGGTTAGAAAATAAGAGATGATTGATGGAGGAGAAAGAAAAAAAAAAAAAGGGAACCCCCCTCAAGAGAAACGGCGAGAGGAAACATGAACCTGTGTCAGGGTCAGCCAGACATCATGGAATGTTCATGCTCCAGTAGAGATTCAATAATGTTTATCTGAGTGCTTTTTAATTTTACATGAGAGACAGGAACTCTTTTAGTCACACAGGGACTCTTTCTCCTATACCTTTTAACTGTGGAATGTGGTGGCAATTCAAACTTGGCTGCCAAGAAAAATGAAAGATCTTATAGAAGAAAGCAATACGGGAGAATTTCACTTCAATTCAAACTTTCAACCTTTGTCACATCTGTGTTTTTATACGGAAGAAATATCTATTCTGAAAAAAGCACATGCTGTAAAGAATTCAGATGATTTCCTCTTTTTTAGGATTTTAGTATCACTTCACACACATGACTAAGTTATAAATAGCACAAAATTAGAACTATGCTCACATTTAGTCTGACGTTAATGAACATTATCAAGAGTCAATATCAATTCAAGCTGAATAACCAGAAAGACATTAAACACATAACTCAGTTTTTTTTCTTCCTGAGACTTACTGGAAAATGTTGTAACTTCCAAGAATTTATTGCTGTATTATATTTGTATGATTGTGTACCATCAATCTCCCTGTTTACACTTCACGTATTTTGCAATGTTCTGATGGCGTCCAGTCAAACAGCACTTCACATTGAATGAATACCCCGTCTTTGTCTCGTTTTACTGCCCACTTTTCTTCACATCCCTTTTGCA